TGAGGCAACTTCATTCTGTGAGCCCTTATTTTTAATAGTACCCTCTTCCTGTGCTTTAATACCATTACCAGTTTCATAGCTAAAGCGATAATTTCCGTCACCGTCATTTTCATTAACATATGAGAGAATTGGAATTTGTGGACCTGAAGGTTGGGAAGGCCCAGGAGCAGGACGACCACCAAAACCTCCGCTTGGTGGACCAATTGGTCTTGAAGGTCCGCCAGCACCTGAAAAACCACCCAAACCATTATTTGGCTGACCAAATGGTCTGCCAGGACCACCGGCACCAGTGAAACCGCCTGGACCTTGCAAACCAGGCCCACCGCCTGCAGAGGCCGCACTGGCAGGTGGCGGTAAATATTTGTTATCTAAACGAGCGCCATATGTCACCGCCAGTAGCGTCAGTAATAAAAGCTGTAATGAAAAATTAAAAATGATTATTTTTTAATATAGATGCAATGTATGATCGTTAAAATATAAGTATGCAAACAAGTTGAACGCTATTATTGGGTCACTCAGCTGGTCAATCGGTTACTTGGTTACTTGGTTAACGAAAAAATTACAGCATGTAAGTAAGTAAATTGGTGTGGCATTGCTGACATTACCTAAGAAGCTGAAACTTGAATTTCGCCTGCAGTTGCTTTGATTTTTATTTTCTAAGCCTAACTACAATGCGCGCTGTCGATATTTTGGATGCATCCGCGTCTGTGAATGCAACGTTATGATAAAAATCTCGCGATACTGGCAATTGGCATTTAAATCGTTTTGGGGCTGGGAACTTTTTACAAATTTTATTGCTTTTATTTTGTGTGGCAAGCAGTGTTTGCAAGTAATGAATATGACAAACAATGCGGCACGAAGAGAGTCACAGACTAAGCCTGAGGTACTCTCAAAGTCGAATGGTGTATAGATGTAGAGGGATGAGACTCATTAGTAGCGCATTAATTTCACATCTACATGAACCTAAATTTCAATTCAAATTACTAAACATAGAAAATTCTTAATTAAGCCACTTGGATTACGCAAAAGGTACGAGTATGTGTTCCTCACTCAAAGCAAAAACAAAAGTGAAGGGAATCACTTTGCACTCTTCAGTAGGTCACACAACTTAATTCCATGTGTTGTCATGCGCTACTGCGCCCAGACTTTAGTCACAACTACCGCACAGCTTGAACTCCAACTACGGTTAAAGCGCTGAAGCGCTGAAGCACTGAAGCACTTATACACGTGAATACACATCAAAATCGCCAAAACTATTCGCCAAGCGTACTAAACTAACGAAACAGCATTCATGCAGAATTCTTGGCTTGGAGGCACATTCTGCAGTCAACACAATAGCAATCACAGCCGCCAACAGCCGCCAATAGATGAGACAAATGCTGCATTAGGCAAAACATCAATGACTTTATTTTTAATTTTGCTCAAAAATTTTGAATTACTTGAACGGACAAAGGTAGCAGCAAAGTAGCTGCGACGCTGCAAAATGCATGAATGAAGTGCAGAACTGCACTTGGCAAATCTGGCAAAAATGATTTACGTACGGAAAATCACGTTGGCGAGTGAAATATGGTTTTTCGATATCACGTTCTCATAAAAATAATGCTAAGCAGTAATAAAAGATTAAGAAACTAAACGCAGTCTTAAGACTTTGGAAGAGGCTACAGGCTTTTTTAATTTGAATTTTTTTTTTCTAATTTTAGCTTTTGTTCAACAGATTTGCGCCTTGTTAAATTGCGATCTTTGACATTTTTACTGCGTGTCGATTACCTACTGACAATGCTAGGCAAGTTAGGCGAGTTACTATGCGGTTACTTGGAGTGCGATGAGACTCCTCTAGCGCATCATATATCACGTTTTATCACAATTTTTTTGTCTATAGTTATTGCCCTGTTAAGTCAACATCGTGTTACTTTTGAACAAATAAGAATTCATACCAAAAATGTCAACTCGATGAGATTGGCAGTGCAATGAAGGTCAATGGATTCACTAACAGTGAAAGGAAGTTGTCATAGATTAAAATTAAAAATGAAAAATATTAAATAAATTTATTCTGTGTCAAGTTTAAGTTTATTATGTATTGAAATACTAAATATATTAAAAAAACATATATATAAACTATATAAAGCAAAAAAAAAAACCAGAATAAAAAAAAATTGCAGCTGCTGTACGGACAACAGAAAATTAAAATGCATATTTGAGTTGAAAAAATTCAATATAATTAAAATTAGATCACGATTCTAAAGAATTGATAAAACAATTCAAGGGAAGTGCGGAAGAGGCCTAGAACATGCAAAGTATATAAAGCATATAAAAATTCACACAAAAAAGGCTTAAAATTTAAGTTCCAAAATGTTGACAAAAATATTGTGAGACAAAGCCAGAGAAGCTTAGAAGTGATTGTTACTGTATAGTTATTGAACCTTTCTGGACAATATTCACTATTTAAACTGCATTAGTACTCGTACTTAGAAAATTCAAATACAAATTGTTTGAAAAGTCATAGGTTCATACGATTTAGTTATATCAACTGCAAAAAAGCTGATAGATTTCTAAGTCTTAAAAGATTTCTACTTAAATTAGTCATTGGTTTCTTATTTTGAAATGCATCTATTAAATCACACCTTTCAAAATTGAAACTATATTAGGTACAAATTCTGTAATATGCAAAGAAAAAGGATCCATCCATATTTGCTTTTGTCTAAAAACGGATTTTATGCCTTCTTATGAGGTTCATTGAACCGAATGAGGATAAGAGTCTCAATTAATTCAATAATTTAATTTTGGTTAGATAAAGTTATATCTCACGCTTTCATTTCTTAAAAGTATTATGATTTAGTTGTCAGTAGCACTCTAATTGATAAAATACATATATATGATAGATTGTGACATTACAATAAATAAAACATTTATTTTATAATCTGATCAATACTATAGAAAATATAAAACAAAAGTGTATTTAAACATTTTTAAATAGTATTGAGGAACAATAATTAATAAAAATCAAAAAATATTTTCAAAAACCACCAATGGTAGCTATTTGGTAGTATTCGAAGTTGCTGTATGGTGACCCAAAAATTCAATTGTTTAATTCAATTGTTTATAGATAATACTACTACTGAAATATATTACTGATCAAAAATGTTTTTATTTAAAATATTAGTTTCTTTCGTTACATTTGACTTTAAATTAAATTTAGGAAAGCAAATCAATTTTTTAATTTATTTATAACAAAAGATGTCCTTTTCAGACAGGGCTAAAATTGCTGGCAGACTAGACTACCTAACCGGACTTATTAAGATTTTTAGTCACATTTTTTTCGGCTTTATTCTTAGCCCAAAAAATAGCGTGCTGAAGCGCTCGTGGTTATATAATAAAAGAAATGCAGAACAAGAGTTAGACTGAGCCGTAGTCCTACATATACGAGGTTTCAATTTTCTAATTTTATTTTTATTAGCTTCATAAATCTCCTTTTTTCGTCAAATTTACGACGTTTTATTTTAAAAATATTGAAATTCGAAATAAAATACAAATTCATGTCTATATTTGGTATTACAAACAATTTGTAAATTTTAATTAAATGTTAAAAATCTTGTATAGCATATAAGTATATTTGTCGAAAACAATACAAGTGCTCTATTTATTACATATATTAAAAAAATAAAATTTGAGATTAAATGTCAAACCAATTAAAATCTCACCTTCGCAATTCTATTTTCTATACATTTTTTAAGTATGTCACATACATATGACAATTTATATCTAATCGAATTATAATGAATACATGTTAGAATCTGAATTAAATCATTAATTTTATTTACTGGCCACGATTGTGGATAAACATGACACTTTGAGTAACTTTTATGTAATATTGACATCATTGAGACGTATTCCCCCAACTGAATGCATTTTTTTTTTTTACTTCAAAACAACTTTTTCAAAACAGGCGTTGCCTCTGCACTGGAAAACCTTTATAGTAATTCATTCCAAAGATGAATGGTAGCAACTATCACATGCAGATGAAACATTCAAATCGTGACCAACATTATTTCATCTTTATCCCAACTTAAATGTTTAACAATTTAACAATTGAAATATTATCTGCTGCTTAAGAAATTTTGAGCAATTTTTTCTTCTTTTTTTTTTGTGTTAAAAAATTATACCGAAAATGTTAACCTCATGTTAATTGTATGCAAATATGAAAGATCAGAAATTTCAAAATTTTTATTATTTTCATAGGTGCTGTATAATTTAAGTTAATAAATAGTAAGATCTAGCCTATTGCAGGCAAAAGCAAATTAAATTATAATAACAAGGAAAAATAGTTTCTTGAGTTTCAAATGTTATGAACAGAAACCTACCTATTTGTATGGGAGCTATAATTAAACGAAAATCGGTATATCCAAGTATTGTGTATAGCTGTTATTTTATATACTAAGTTCGATTAAAATATCTTTTACAAATGATAGAATCTTGACAATTAGATCATTAGAAATTATATTTATAAAAAACCATTATTAATACAACAATAAGCTTTTATTAAAATATGCAATTAAAAAATTCTTAATTTTATATTGATTTAAATGCAATAAAAAATCATTAATTTAGTTTTTATGGTTCTATAAATATTCTATGTACATATAGTACGTACCAGTATACATTCAGACTAATTAAAAAAAATATTTTTAAAAACTCTAATGTTCATATAAAAAAATAAATATGGTTATTTATATCGAGTGTATTCATTTTAATTTCCCATCTCATCAATTAAAGTAGACAGGTATGTTCACAGACTTTTATATGCGTCGCAACAAAACAAGCCATTAGGTTAACAATTAAATAATATCATCGTAGCAACATTGAAAAATTTATTTGATGAATCAGGTATGTTAATAGGCAAAGTGACACATGCGACAAAACAAATTAAGTCATAAGTAATCAAATAATATCGTCTTAGCAACATTGTTAAATTGATTTTGGCGGCATTAGGAATAATATGTTGCATGAAAATAATAAAAGGCAACAAGTTGTTAACTAAATTGTTGCATTTCAGATTATTTTTAACTGTGTGTGAATATTTAAATTTATTCAAAATACCTAAAATTTATAGTGACATTTTGTACTTAATTTTATTGTATTTTTATGTGCAAATAAAAAGAGAATTTAAGAAAACGTTTATAATACGTGATTGCAGTTAAAAGTTTATATATTTTTTAAAGATCCGTACTTACTCTGCTACTGTTCAAAATAATTACAAGTTGAGTACATAGATATTACTCAATTAAATAATTTATTGTAAAGAATTTAAAATATTCACTAAATAAATTTAATATTAAATATTTAAATTTATTACTTTTAAAAACTTAATATTTATTATTAAAATCGCAACACAACATTTTAAAATTTATTATAAATTTTTTTTATTAATTGCTTTTAACCTCATGTCTCTAAACACAAACTTCAACGCTTAATATAATAAGAAAATATAATCAAAAAATTATTTAAAAATTGCATCATGTGCACAATTTTATGAATACACACAAACAATACTTTTAACAAATTATTTCATCATATTGATTGAAGCACTGCCAGACATTTGTTTAACTCATGATGCTGTAAATAATGTAACCTATAATTTTCATTTAAGAATGTTTATAAACATATCTTAATCACAGTGATTATAAATTTTATAAGCAATTATTCAAGAATCTTCAAAGTGTGTCTTCGATTAAAACATTAAAATTAAATGATAATAATAAACAAAAAAAACAGTAGTTAATTAAAAACTTATGAAACTTATTATTTTCTAAACATATTATATTATAAATTGTATATATTTTTGATTATTTATGATAGAATTTATAAAATGGATGTGAATTATATAATTTAAAAAGTATGAAAATTTAAAGCCATGAAACTTCAGCGTTTCACAGTCGTCGCATAGTAAAGTACAGCACGAGTTAGTTAAATGTTGATGAAATTTAAATAAATTTTATTAACAGCGCAGATCTCTGCTAACAGAGCTCACTGTAAAACAATGAACGAAATATCTTTATTAAAAAATCCCTTTGTAATAAGTATAAAAAAAAATAATTAGTTGTTCTATTGTTAAAAAAAGTTTTCGTAACTTTTTGTGTAATAATTAATATTTATGAATAATTAATTGAAATAAACTTTTTAAGTTCGATTTCTTATTTTTTAACGATTTAAATAATTTTTTATAAATTTATGACAAAAAATTAATTTGAAATAATAAAAGACAAAAATAAATTTTGAAATGATGTGTTAAAATATTTTTTTAAAGCATTGAATGCTTTTTTTAAAGCATTTTTTTGTTAAAGCTAATAAGAGATGTAATAATATAAGAACTACTTCATTGATGTACAAAACTGGAGAAACTGCCCATGCTGCAGGACCACCTAGAGAGGTACTTCTGCCGAAGCCTGATAACCAGCTGTTACCGAAACCTGATAACCAGTTGTTATAGCCAAATAAGTAAGTACTTTTACTTAATTATTTGTAAAAAATTTACTATTTATGACCATAATAAAAAAAATATAGTAGAACAGAGAGAAATATGTTAGAAAATTGAGCAGCTTTAGTCGTTACCCATATTATCTAACTATACTACTTTAAAAAAAGACTGAATGGTTTTATGCAATAATTTTATATTATATATAAATTAACAAATCAAGATATTGTATAGCATTTTCAGAAATATAATAATTTTGAGGCAGCATAATGGGTACTATATGCCTCCGAGTGGAAATGCAGACAACTCTCAGTACGCGCCTTCTGAACCTAACCTAACCTTTAAGTATTTTGACACATAAAATTGGCTTTCTAACCCAATATGGGTGGGATCTACCTTTGCAGAAAGTCTGTATATAACGTTACGGTTTAAAATATGTCACAAAAACTCATATAGACACCATTAAAGAGATTTTAAGTCATATGTTTCGACTAAAACCGCTAATTTATGGATATAAATATATTTATGCTAATAATACGAGTATTTGTATTAATAATTGCAGCAATATTTTATAGGCATAATCAAAAGACCGTTCCGTTAAGATAAAAAATATACTCTGTAATTTTTGTATATATACAGAGTGAGAATATTTTACTTTCTATATCTTCTCTAACTTATAGGTTCGTGCTCAAATATATTTTCTTTAACTATAAAATGCAATGAATTTATGTTATTTTATTATAACTGGCTTCGACTAGTTTGTCGTATATTTGGAAGTAATGTTACTAACATAGTAAGACAATGTTAACTTGTCGTGATTGAACAACTGGAAGACAGCCTACAATTACGATTATCTTAACATCCATGATGACAATATACAATTTATTAAATTGGTTAATCCTTATAATAAAATATCTCCAATTGATATAAAAGCTGGGAAAATTTATATTTTGATATATAAAATAGAATAATTTATCATTGCAAAATTGTGTATCATAAATATTTAATTTTTATTTTAAATGTTCAACATTTAAGTGGAATGGAAGATATAAGTTATATATAGTTTTTTTATGTAATCTTTTTAATTATTTGAAATTTATTTATGGGAGTTATATTTGTTAAAAAGGTTATGTAAATATATTTTAGAGTGATTATTTATAATTTAATATAACAAATATAATAATAAAAACTAATCAACAAGCTTTTATTTTTTATTCACTTTTATATTTTATTTATTTTATGTATTAATGTTTTTATTTATTTTTTATTCACAGTAATTTTTTATTAAATACATAATTGAGAAAATTGAGTTCAAAAAATAATGTAAATTGTTAAACTAAAATATATAATATAACACAATTTAAAAAATAACTTTTTTTAAAACACCACTTTTTATAAAACATAACCTTTTATATGTTATATATGAAGTCTTCATATTTTATCTTCATACCTAGAAAACAACAAATTACATTATGAATTGGAAGAAGTCGTAACATTGTAGCTGTCATAAATTTATGACATCATTATAAGTTTGTTGTGAATCATTTAAACACTTTTATTTATTATACGCTGTATTAACGAATATGTCATATACATGAAAGTAATTAAATTTTGGAATAGCGGTAGTATATTACGTCTTTCAGCTTAAATGGCTCACAACTGCTAAGGATCGTTCTCTTAACGCAACCCTTATAAAAGGTCTTGTGTTGAAACTTTATTGGCTCTATGTTTGGAATAAAGAAATTTTAATTCTTTTACTACAAAAAATTACTCTTGTATAGGTTTAAGCTGAAATACAACCATAAAAATATCAACAATTCGCGCTTATGCTATTAGAAATATTTTGATTTTATATAAATTGAAAACTTCGTATATTTTTAAATTTAATATTAATAGAAAGCCAAATTTGTATGTACATCCATCAAGTAAAATATCACAATCTTCGGTTGATATGAATAGAAAAAATGAATTATTTCCCTTCAAGAAAATATTAGAAAATATTAAACATTTTACTAATATTAGTGCAATAATAGATTAAAATTTTAAAAAAAATTTGTGACAACCGCATCTAAAAATTTTTATTGATTTCATCCCCCCACTTAGTAATCTTCTTAAACACTTTTACTCACCACTTTCATTTCTAAACACTGTTAATCCAAAATTCTTCTATTTGTTTTGTTATTCTATGAAATTGTCTTTATCCTTTTCTCAAAGGATTAAATTCACATAAATTCTTTCACTCAAAATGGTTTTTCTATATAAAATATCACTTCTCTATGCACAGCATCACACGAACTCGTCATATATATATGTAAATATATAATTCTGTTTTTTAGTTTTTTTAATAAAACTTAACCAAAAGTCCCCTCTTATTATTATTAATTTAAGTGCAACTGACTTGCAATTCGTTTGCTTACTTAGGCTGCAAGCAATTGTCGAAACTAATGTGCCATCAAACCGCAAAGTTCTCTAGCTTTTATACAAATTTTGTTAATGTCGTTTGGCGCCAAACAAAATCAAATATGCCAAAAGCAAAGTGTTGCCAACTAGTCGAAAAAAAGACAACAAGTGCATGCATTACAAAAACAACCACTTCAATTGTTACTTTTTTTTCATATAAAATTCACAAATATTTCAAGAATTGAATTTATTAATTTTACTACAAATACATTCACAACTTACACGCACACTAATATTACAAAAACACTTCAGAAGGGAGGCTGCACTTGGACACTACCAAACTCAGTAACAGTAATAGTAACAAACAAACACTCACTCACTTCTACTATTGCAGTTCTCAGCCTTACTTAACGTTTCGCTCAGTACTTGTCTGCGGCTGTTTGCCATAGTCATAGCCAGCAAGTAAAGTAAGAGAGATCTTTAGCACATCATTTTCTGCTGTGGTTTGGAAAAGTTTGCGCTCATAAATTTCAGTTCGATAGATCGCACAGTAACTGCAATAGCAACATCTTAAATTGCTTCTTCATTGTTGCACCATTGTGCTTGCTCAGCGGCAACATCAGATTTTCCGTCTACGGACTTTTAACGCTTGTTTTAGTTGTTGTAAGAATTGTTAAAGCATTTTTAGTTCGTGCAGCACTCCGTTTGAGACTTCTTCACAATATTAACAAACTTAAAACCGATTTCATGGGCGGATGTCAATAAATTTTCAGTTGTTAAGTTTAACAGACTAAGTTGTAATAATTTAACAGCTTCTTTATTGTTGGAAAAAAATGAAAAATTAAATAATAAAAATATTGCAAAATTATTATTTTTTTAACAATGAGTGAAATCATTTTAATTTTAACTATTTGCTAAATAGTAAATAGCTATATTTTAGATTTAATGGAACGCCTACTTTAAACTCACCTTAAGTAGAAACAGTAGTCCAGAGACGGCATGAAATCCTAAATGAACTTAACATATTGCATATATACCTGATTAAGCTTTCTGCTTTAAGGGTATGTATGTATGTATGTATGTATGTTTTAGAAATAAACTGACATAAGCTTCGTGTAATATTTATTGGTTACCAGAGTTGGGAATAATGTGGGCTTGATTTAAAGTCCCATATAAAAGAAAACTTATAATTATGAAACTATTAAAAATTTAGATTTCTGAAGCTACTAAACTATTCACAACCATATGGTTAGGTTATGATTTCTAGGGATACACTTGATAGTCTATTGCATAAAACTCGATTACTGCATTTTTAGAGAACACTTGATAGATACAATTAATTTAAATTTACACATAGGTATGTATTTATTTTACAAAATATAAAAATACATAAAAACACCATATATATCTGTATATAATATGTATATAATAAAGTTATAAGAAATATAAAATTGTTTCTACAATTGTAAGAAGTAACACATATATCGATTGGAACACCTCTTATGAAACATTTTCACCAACCACACAAAAAAATTGAATAATCAGAAAATATTTAAAGTCAGTTAGATATGTTTGAAAATTATTTCACAAATTAAAATATTTAAATTAAATTAAATTAAAATATAAAATGAAATAACTTTTATACAAAGATACAACACAGTACACTACCTTGGAATGACTTTAAAAGAAATTTCAAATGGAGAACTTATATTATAAAACTAAAAAAGGTATTAGTTATTTGACGATCAATCTTGATTAAATTTAATCTTACAGGCATACATAGGTTTCATTATAAGACGATACTGAAATCTGTCTGGACCTAAAACATTTAGTTTGAATCCACAGATCACTAGTTCAGTATCACTAGTCATTTACCATATACATTTATACATGCTGAAATACATGCTTAAAGATATTAATATGAAAAATTTGTAATAAACCAATATATAAGAAAACTTTAAATTGTATCGATTGTATCGTATTAATTTTGATTGGGTGAATTGTTAAATATTAAATTAGGGAAGAATTTTAACATGCATAAGTTATATTATTTGTATTATATTACTAAATTAATTTAAACCAAATTTAATATATATAAATTCTTGTAATCGCTACAGCATGCCTATTTTAAAAAATCCGTTATTACTACTTTGTTTTGATATATATTTCATTAATAAGAAGTTTTATTATATACCCATATATAGATACCTATAGTAATCGTATATATTATTACACTTAAATTAAAATTATATTTTATTCATATTTCTTCCATCAATTTATTATTAATTTACATATATATGTAACCGTGTACTGCTAAATTTACTTTTGGGTCATGGACTCACAGACTTCCTCCCCATATTAATTTCACTACTAACAAACCCAAACCTGATTATTATGTAAAAAGAGAGTCACTAATGGATTAATAAATATTCATCATTTTCGAGGATGTGCGCAGACATCCCACAATATATCATCTGAAACTTAATAATCACAGTATCTAATTTAACTAAAGGTCATTATTATATAATTACTAATAAATTTTAAAATCAATTTAAGAAGTTTTCTTAAATATTCTATTCCTAAGCAGATTTACTTATTAGCATTATTTTTATTATAATTTCATGGTTTGCATTTCATTATGAATTTTAATATTTCATTATGAGTTTGAATGCTGCATGAATTGTGGCAGAGAAACACACCACAATTCTTTTTTTTTTTTTATTTTGAAAAAGTAAGCAATTCCTTTTTAAATTTTTGTTAAATATTAGAGGGGTTTCGAATAACAAAGAAAGAAATAAAGTACAAACACAAAAATTTTTTTTGTTAAATATAAATTTTTAAAATCCATAAGATATTTTCTAACTTATCACTCGTCCGGGTATCGCTAACATACATGAAACTAACGAATCAATCAACTTCAACATCTATGTTTTGAAGTATTGTGTATAAAATGTATTATAAACAAAAAAATGTATATGCAATTAATAAATTCTTAGCAATAAACTTTTACCTTAAATAAAAAAAAATTAATTATAAACTTAATTATAAGTTTTTATGCAAACTTAAAATTTTTTGCTTGAAATTTTTAAAATAACTTTTACACATTAGAAATATACTTACATACTTACATACTATATTAGAAATTAATTATTATGCAAAATTATTTAACAGCAAATATTTTATTGAACTTGAAATATTGAAAGTATATAAGTAAAGATGACGATCACACTACTGCTTAATTTTGTTTTTTGTTTATAAATAGTTTATCCGCATCAAAATAATTGTTATTAAAATAAGATAATTAATTAAAAATAAAAATTATAATTAAATATAAAGTTCCGTTTTTGATTTATAATAAAACCATTAAAACGAAGAAATTAAAATTTTAGAATTTCCCAAATATAAATATGCAAATTTTGTTAAGTAAATAAGATACATTCAGAGTTTAGTCAAGCCGAGCTTAGGCAGCAGCGAACTCAGGCCAACAGGAGATCAAGTGATGTAGAGAAATGCACAATGCACATAAATGGAATTCATAATTAAGTTGTAGCAAATTTAATATTCGTAATTTTGAAATACATGTACTGCACTGTTCATTGTGTCCGATGTGCAACTCGATATGAAATCAAGTCTAAAAAAATCTGGTGACAACAGACGTCAAAAGCGAAAATGGGTGGCATTATTTATGACTGCGGCTTGATGCCAAAATAAATTAACGACAATTTTTTGAGGCGCAAACTGGGCAGAAACAATTACAAAAACCAACAAAAATGTACTATTACTGCATGTGCAATTAAGAAGAGTAATGATCACAGTACACCCACCTTTTTAAAATATGAAATATATTTCACAAAATTAAAACAAAAATATTGTATCTGAACCAAGAACCAATCGCTCACAATGGAAAAATGCGAAATGAATTCAAGAAAATTCAGTCATCAACCGATTTGCCCAAGAGACTACGCTGGCACCTGAGATGAAATGATCTGAAATTACATAAAAGCGTTGTAGAATTCCGTTTTAATTAACTGAAGTTTTATAATTTGAATAAATATTAACATTGGTAATAAGCACATTTA